TCATCGCCCGTATCTCTGAGAATCTGAACCACTTCATCATGCGTTTTACCATCCGTCAGTTGCCCGTTAATTTCAACGATTGCGTCACCAACGTATAGAAGACCGCTCTCTTCCGCTGAAAATTGAGACTAATCAGAAGCAAGTAAGAATGAATAAATTAAATGTAACACATGTTTTCCTAATAGAAGATAAAATTATACGTAGACTGATAAATGTGTTTGACTTTTTTATCTGCCTGCAAATGTTTTTGAAAGCGCACTTTTCAGCTTCGCCGGAATTAGCAAATTCGACGGGAAGCCCTCAAAATCTTCAAAGAGACAGCAAAAAGATAATTTATTTTTTTGATTTGTAATCCCAGCCAACTGAAATGCGAATAATATAACCACGGTATATGGGTACGACTATGATACTGAGCAACAGTGCTGATTTCCAGGTGAGATTGGACCACCTACAGGCGGGAGTTACTGGTAATTCTTTTAATTTTGTCAGCCAAGGTTGGCAAGTCCCGCCGAACATACAGTGTAGGGAGCTAGTGTTGTAATTTTACTAGGCTGCTTTCATACATCAGCCGTAGCTATGCCAGACCCTTCGGTCCTGGACAATATATCCACTGTTTGTCCAAAATTTATGCGCACAGCTGTCATGGACAGCTTCATAATAAACAGCAAAAGGCAATAACATTACCGGGCATGTTGGGAAAAATTTTTGAAATAACAACAGGAACTTGTTGGTTTCCATCACTGCCTCCCTAAAAGCACGAAACAACCTTAACATTGGTCGATTACTGAATTTAGACAGCATGCACTAGCAATAGCAGCCACGCCAGAAAGCTGTCGATGACTCCCTTTTTCGAGGCCTAGAGAGGTACAAGCTGCTGATGATTTTAATTTCCTAGCCTGAGCAGTATAATTTCCGAAAAAAACAAACTTTTATGGAGAGGCCAAGACCACCACCTTTCTTCTTTCGCAGTTTGACATTTCGTATACCAGAGCCTGGCTCAGCTGTCGATTCCTTTAGGCTTTCCGTAAACGCGCCACTGGCAGTTATTTGGATCATAAGCATATCTGAAAATGTATTTGTTCTATCTAAAAGTAGAATAATTTTGTTTTCACTAGCTTATTTTTAAAATGACTTTAAATAATCTAGTAATCAAATTTCTCAGAATAAGAGCCATATTGATAACCTTTCGTTAGTTCCAAACGTGCTGGGCGCCCTCGGCCTCTACCATCGCTGAGCAGAACCATTCCATGATGAACCTATAAGGTCAATGAATTAAAATGGACTTTTGGTCGCTTCAGTTAGCAGAAAGAGTGGGAGGACGAGGGAGAAGGAGTGGGCAAGGTGAAAGGCGAGAACGGAGTAGGAAAGAGACGCAAAGAGGGTATTTCATTCTTTGAAAGACTTGAAACAAATAGCTATTTCTTCTAAGAGTTAGTGGCATTTTAATTGTCCCACTCTTTTTAATTGCTACAATTCACAATTT